GGACTCCCAGTTCTATTTCTGACTTGTGGTGGTTTGCCTGTAAACCCAGTGTCGATTAAATCTTCTGTATCTCTCTCTCTTTCTCAGTTGACCCGTTTCTCTTGTGTGTCCCAGAGTATATTTCACATCACTCTTTCTTCTGAAGCTTAATAAATGCCACAAAATGTTAAGCAAAATACTTATGAAAGTTTCAAATCTAGTTTTCTTTTTTCATGGAGAAATTATGCCCAGAAGGAACACTGTACTTTAGGGATTTAAATTGTGCCGTTTACTTTCACAGCTGTAACGTGCAGAGCGTGTGCAGTGAGTGTAAGCTAGAAGCAGCTTGCAGTACATCAGAATATCTGAAATGTCATGTTAACCACACAGGCAGAATTTAAAATAAAAAATCGTATGGTTCTTTTAACGGGTAGGCTTTGTACCTACTGTTGCTGCACAGTCTTATTCCCTAGGTGCTGAGTATTATGTCATTGATCTGACCATGCTTTTCCTCACAGGTCTCATCCATGCATGGCAGAAAACCTAGTAATCTGTAAATTGTGTGGGGGAAAGAGCAGGTTAGAGACTGTCCCTTGTCATTTGATATTTGAGTGCCCCTGTATGTGCCATATATTAGTTTTATTTTCTACCGTGACACCTAGCTATGAGAAAAGAACTCTCCAGAGCATCTTAAAAGACATCTTCTATTAAAGATGGAAAGAGTTAAGCAGAACGCAGACAGTAGATCTCACAGCCAGAGGTAAAAATAATACACGTGGGTGTCTCTCATGCTTTAATTGGAAGAGAAGCATAAGAATGTGGAGCTTAGTTTCCCTTGCAAGACTTTTTTGTAGAAGAGTGCTTGGTGGAGGCTGAGTGAGAAAAGCAAAGGTAGGTGGAAAGCATACATCTGTGTCAAAGCTGTGACAAAATGCTTGGAAAATACACACTAAAACAAATGACTGTAACGCTTAAGTTTTGCATAGTATACCCTACAGGTCGTAATTTTCCCTATGAGGAAACAGAAGTTGATATTGGATAAGGTCAAACAGCCTACTGTGGTGCTGAAGATGGATGGGAGGGCCTCGTGTGCAAGATTAAATTTGAGAAAAAGAAGGAAATCAGGAAAGGGGTATGGCACCTAATTAGGCTCCTACAGAAAGAGATCTGATATGAGCCCGACTTCTCTCTTTCTGGCGCTAGGTGAAAAGGGCCCAGTTTACAAGAGCTTAGCCTTCCCTGTCTTCATGGGACAAAGTCCCTCTGAAAAAAGGAATTCTGGTGAAAAAAAAGAACTGGAAACTTAGGTGTAAAATCAGTGATGGGTTGTTGGATACGGACTGCAGAAAATCCAGCACTCTGGAGTGTCTCAGAAGTGGGGCCCTGTAAATATATACTCTCATGAATTTTACTGAAGTAAGGAGTTTTGTAAAGTTGGATTTCGTTTAATTTAGTTGAGCCCATGTGCAAACCAGTTGGCCTATATTTTGGCTTAATGAATACTTGTCTGGGATGCCACTAAATGTATTGCTGGTGCTGCAAGAAGTGCATTGATAAGTCCTTATGTGGTGTTCTTTGCCTGGACCAGTCCAGGAGCCCAAGCAAAGCATATGAAGGCTGCTGCCCAGCTGTAGTAGGGGTCTAGTACTTTGTAGTAGTTAAAGAGCTGACTGTACGTTTTGTAGGAGCTGAGGATGACGATGACTTAAATTCATATTCAGAGTCTACAATTTGATAGTGATGTTTTATCTTGCCTAAATTGCCCTATTCTTTCCTTCAGATCCTTAACTTTAGCCTTTTAGGGAAAAAAACCCACATCTACAAAACTCAACAAGCTCAACAAGCTGTTTGATACTGCTGGTACAAGGTGTCTGTTATGTTCTAACTCCAGAAACAACCTTATTTTAATGTTGGGCAAAATAATTCTTGCATTCGAACGCAAAGAGGTTATAATTAAACTTTGCACGCTGCTACCTGAGAAGAGATGCTTTTTAAATGTGAACCACATACATCATTATTAGTGCAGTTGGCCTGTTGCCCATCAAAGCACTGATTATTTTCTACAGCAGCTACTCCAGTTCCTCTGCTTTTTCAGTTTCCTGTTATCTCCCATGGACATCAGCAGTCCCTTTGCCAAATTTCTTAGTAAAATCGTGGCACTCCAGACTCATAGGAAGAGGATCTATCAGCACTATGGCAGTTAATTGCTTTAGCTAGCATATGGCACTGTCCTTTGAACAGTGGAGATGCAGAAAGTGTGTGAATACTGTTGGAAGTAAATCACTTTGAAAGTTATTCTGTCTCGGTGGGGAAGTTAAGACAACTAGTAATGGATTTGATGTCTTCGGTCTGCTTTTTGAAATGGTCCAAAAACTGCATTACTGAGATATTTTGAGAGATGCTATACTTTAAAAAGGCTGACTTTCCTGTTTATTTGCTTATATATTTTGCTTAGCATGGCCTTTTTGGGTGCATTTACTCATTGAGTTGTTAGCACTTAGTTAGGTGCTCGAATACACAATTCCTGAGTAAATTTTGTCCTTTGTATCTCATTGTCTTTCACATATGTTTCCCAGAGGAGCTCCTTCAGACAGATCTATTGAAGGAATAATTATTTCATCAGGATTTAATGTATATCTTGATTGCACTTTGAAGACATTCTCTTGAGGAGTTTTATCATTTCAACAAGGGATCATACCATGTAAACAAGGAAATAAACTTTAGCTTTCATATTAATGAACAAGGTGATTAAATAATAACTACAATTGTTAATTGGTGCTTGGAGATAGAGGGTAATGACTGTCTTGAGTTCGACAATGAGAATACCAACAGGTAGAGACTCTTTTCTGCACAATAAAGCTGCATATAATTTAGGAGGCGTTATGCTTTAAATGTGCAGCTGCAACCATAGTGAAGTTGTGCAACTGTTTGCCTGGTGTCCTATTTCAGGCATATGTTTTCATACTGAATGAGGTATTAGCAAGGGAATTTGAGATTCAGGCAGTTAAATCAGTTCTCATTGACACCAAAACCCTGAGGTTCTGTATAAACCCATGTTTAGAGTGTTTTCCTTCTCTGTGGGACGCAGTTCCTGCTGGTTTCAGGATGTAGCAGGAGTTAAATGCTGCTTCTTTCCTCAGAGGCAAAAGTCCAACTTCTCCCTCACAAGACGATGACTTCTGGCTCTCTGAGTTTGGAACTAGCGCCTCATTTTTTCCATCACCGGAGTCTTTGTCTTGTTCTAAATACTGCAGTGTTCGTAGAGGGAGAAGGAAGCACACAGGGCATCTGCATCTCTAGAAGCTGATAAAGTGAAAAGGTCCAGTAGTTTAACACACAAGTTTGGGAATATAAAGCATAGGACTGGGAATTTTGGAGACCCGTATTGAAAGTTCTGTCCCTCATACTGACTACTTGTCTGATCTTGACTCAAGTGAGTAATTTTGCTGCTCAGACACCACCAGTCCTTTTTATTGTAACTCATTTGAAGCAAATAGTGCTGCTAGAAGAAACCGTGCAGCCCTCCTGCTCTCAGTGTTCATTTTTGCCTCTAATCTACCATAAATACAAGCAAAAGAAGAGTTTCCTTCTCTGGTCAGCTTACGAAGCTGATTCAGCCTGAGGCTGCTTGAGGACTAGATTCGTGGCCAGGTTAGAAGTCTAGATTTACTCTGAATTAGGTATGACAGCAAAGCACTGCCTTAGTTTCTCCATATGTCTGTTGCTTATAATGCTTAAAGATGCTAGGGCCAGTTTGATCTCACTGAAAAGTCCTTGGAGATCTCGGGCTGAAAGGCATGATGAAAATAAAAAGTAGCCATTGCATAAAGAGACTTTTTGTGATCGCATGTTTGCAAACTAATTTGTCCAAAATGTCTTTGTGTTGCAAGCATGGACCAGAGCAGTGCTTTGTCCCCAGAAGACCTGTTGGCATCGGAAGCATGGGCTCAGGTTGCCCACAGATGCTGGCAGTGTAACACTTCGCATTTTTGCTGGCTTAACAGTCATTCAAAGTAATGTTAAAAGATAGCATGTTGGATGCTTTTAGAGTATGTGTCTGAGGGTGGGCTATCTACTGACAGTCTCGGGGGCAGATCACACATGTCTTATTCAGGTGGCAAAGCTCTCCTTGGCTTTGACAGAGCTGGGATTTCACCCTCATTGCTACCCCCAGTTGCCCAGCGTGTGCTCACTAACACATGTATTTGTTCTACTTAACTCTGCAGGGTGATTTTTCCCATGTGGGTTTTGATGCAGAGCTGAGTTTCTGGTTTTGTTTCTTGCTATACTGTTCGGTGTTGCTGATGGGGAATAGCAGAAAAACTGATTATGTTCCTATTCTTACTCACAAGGAAGAATGTTACAATTTTAATTGTATGTTTTAATTTTTCCTTCTTCATCTTTTATGTTTTGAAATTCTGCATTTCAAAAGCAAGATCATTATCATTCAGAACATTAAAGCATGTCTTTTTAATAGCTTTCCCTTTTAATGTGAAAGAATGGAATTGAGGAGGAAAAACCAATCTGTCTTGAAGGAAATTCTCTGTTATCTAAGGATTTTCAGCGCAGCCAAGAAGAGAGGATCTTGAGCTCAGCTGACTTGGAGTGTTATTCTCTGCCTTGAGTAACTTGTAGAGTACAAAGAACTACTTTCATAATGTTATCACCAGAAAAGTCCATCTGGTCTTGCCAGTGACAAGGGGATTATTTCAGTTTTTTATTACGTCAGTGGGATTTTACCATTTTAGGATTCAGCTGTCAAGCTGTTGGGGGAAAGAGGGGAAAATTACATTGTAATTGAAACTCTGTTGGGAGAGAAATTAACAGAATATTTTGCCAGTAATTTTTCTACCCATATTTCCTTCTATTAGTCTCCTGATGGTTTATCCGTACGAATTTAAATTAGAACGCTGACTTGATTTGTTAAGCAGGCAGTGATGGCAATGAGCATCTGTTTGTCTGGTCCAGAGTCCCATTAACACCTAGTAACATTGTCCTTTCTTGCTATTACTTTTATACAGAGCAGCACAGAAGCTTAACCTGTCTTCGAAGAGAAAGAAATACCATCCGCCCCTGCCACACACACACGACTTCTCTATTTATGCTACTAACTTTAGTGGCATCCTGCAGCTCTGCCCTCCCCCAGCACCACCATGCCTTCTGAGAGCTGTGTCCAAAATCAAGGACAACCCTGGCATTGGAAAGGTAACTTCGGATTTCGATTTTTTAAAATAGTTTTCTAGATGAAATTTAACAGGGCTGGAAGCTTTCAGCCTAGAACAGAGTTGGATAGGCTCAAGGAAAGGGTCTTGGGATAGACAGAGAGCCACAACTGTTTGAATGTGCCTGAGAGCTGTTATCACCTGTTGACTTTGGAAAAGAGTTGGCAGCTCAGAGCACATTCAGTACTAGAGTGTTGGCTTTCTTGAAGCCAGTAAACATCACTGACAACAACGTCGGCAAAGGGTGTTTTGTTTTTCCCTCTATTAAAGCAAGAGAGAAATTTTCCTTTGGCATCGTTGGTTCAAAACCAATGCACGTAAAGGCTTCAGCTTTGGCAGAAGTAGTCTCTGCATTGCCAGCAAGGCTTAGCCACTGGTGCTGGTGCTGTCTGTCTGCTTGAGGTTAAGGAGATGTGTCGAGGAGGCTTCATTTCCCACTGCTTCATATGTCATTGTAAATCAGGAGTATGGAAATGAAGTAGCAGGAGAGAAATAAATGTGTCTCTAACTTAGGAAATACAGCACCTTTCAGATTGTAAAAGTTGCACTAATTTTATTTAAAATTAATTGCAATACAAGCCAGTTATTTAGAGCTTTATTCTTATGTATGCATAATATATGTAACAAAATATTCTTATTTATGTCTGACTTTAATCACTCACAGCAGAGTCTGAATACTTATTTACATAGGTTATAAGAGATCAGCATTTGAAGACAGAATCGAAGTCTGTAACGTGCACAGGAGAGCTAAAATACGCACCTTGATTAACCCTCCAAATCAGCATTAACGTAAAGAGATTGTCAGCCTAAATACCTGTAGCTGGCACCGTTGCTCAGAGAGAATACTCTGTGTTTCTTAAGTCAGTGAGTTTGTGCTAAATGGAAAACAAAGGAGTAATTTGGGCTATTTTAAGCAGGTGGAATCTCAGAGATGAAAAAGTGGTTTCTTCTGTTTTTCCTGTGTGTTAGGAAAGAGGATATCGTATTAAATGGTGGAATACAGGAAACTTGGCACAGTAATTTAGAGATTCCCAGGTGGAGGGGGCTTTGCTAAGGAACACCCTTTTTATGTGTGTGTTTTAGCAGAGCTCGTTTGTTGTGCCTGCGTCTTTTCCGTGAGGCTTAGCATTTGGCCGTGACACCAGAAATAACAGGGAGTGTGACAGTTCTGAGGCTCTTTGCCTTAGGAAGACCTTTAAAGCATGCTTCCATCTCCTTGTGCCTGCAGCTTAATAAAACTGTCTTTGCACCTCACTTCACTTGTGTGCCTGCAGCTATGTGTAGCCAAGAGACCTCAACGTTTTTGCTATGCTTTGAGAGTGGCTGGTGGAGCTTACCAGCATGACTTGTGCCTCGTAGAAAGCTCTGGTTTATCTGGTGTCTTCAAACAGATCAACAAAGTCTAATAAAGATCAAGTGCATGATCCCAGATGGCAGGAGATTATATGCCTTGGGTCATGGGGTCTACCTGCTTTCATTAGTGAGCACAGTAGAGGGCTTTCAAGGAGAAGAGCTCTACCAGAATGCCAAGGAGCATGGCAGGACCTTGAGCACCTATGCTGCTCAGTTGTGTGAGCTTCTCCTCCAACATGGTACATATATGTATCCCATGCTGGCGATGTGGGTGGTATTTCTCTCCTGCCTGGCACACTACACCAAGAATTTCTAGACTTTATGGGTCAACAAGCTGCTGTTGACCCTCGAAGGTCTGTTGTTTAGCTCTCAGCTGAAAACATTATTGAAGATACTGTTTGTTTGGACCCAGGGTTTCAACTGTGTCCTTCTCACCACGGACTTTTTGACTACGGTTTAGAAGAACCCTGTGCTGTGCTGGAGAGGATAAGAGCTCACTGCTAATTGAATCAGCCCTTTAGTTCTTAAGATCTAGACCATCCAAATGGTGATGGGCTTGTGCTAGTTACTAGTTTTAATGCTTCTCAAAAAATAAAGTAACTAGGAATCTTCTCTAAACCACAGTGTAAAATATGCAAAACCTATTAAATGCGTATCTTAACCCATTCCTCTTTTGCAACTTTAAATTACAGTGTTTGCCCGTTAAAAAAAAAAACAAACCCTCCAGCTTTCCAACATATAGCTTTTGGTAAAATTTATCAGTCAGCACAAATTAAATCTCATGTGTCCTAATTCTTAGAACTTGTGGTCAAAAGAAAAGTTTCGGTCCTATATAGGTGTTGTTTTAGTACTAAACATTGATAGTTTCAACTTCTCTAAGCAATGCCAAGAAGCTTTTGGTAGCATTTAGCACTGTGCAGTAACATTCTCCATTATAGTTTCCTCTTCACCAGCTTCTGCTGATGAGGATTTAGTCAGCTTGTAACTCATTATGAGGATGATGGGAATAATTACCTTTCTTTCTCACTGCTTTAAGTATCATAGCAATTGAGGGAAGAATTACAAAACACTGGCAGATGTGCTGTGGTCCTCTGTTAGCTTCAGTCCCTCTTCTAACAGCTTTTTACTTTACACTCCTCCTGGTTATCTTTTTCCATGGCTTTTTCTTGCAGCCTGTCCACTAATAAGTACAAGATAATGTATAGGGGACAGAATCAGCAATATACTCTGGAGTCACTTTTCCTCCCACAGCACCTGTGTCTCTGGCTGGTGCTCTCCTTGGTTGGTGTGATCTTTCCCGGGTCAGCGGTGTCCCTCGCCCTGTTATTACTGTGTGGTTACAGTGGGTTAAGCAGCAGATGGAACAGCCTTTTCCTTCCTCACCTCCTGGCTTGCTGCTGTTTTCTCTTTCATAGTTAGTTATGATGTGGAGGGCTGGTTCCTTGCTGATTTCTGCTGTCCAGGTAAGAACGTAGCAGTGCTAATGGGCTGCCTAATTCACACCTAACTTCACTTTACCAAGCTGAGAATGGCCCATTGAGGACCAGTCCTTATTCTCCTCAATCGGGTGATTTCTCTGAGCACAGATAGCTTGTTAAGTTCTAATTCCCTTCTTGTCAAATGGTTTCTTTCAGAGCAGGACAAGATTCCATAGAGAAATGTGCCTTTTCTCACTGTGAAGGGGCTGAAAATGTAAAATTTAAGGCGAAGTGTGTAAGTTCTGTGAGAATGAAAAATAGAGTAACAAACTGGAAACCCATGAGGCGTCCAAGATACTCTAATGGGAGCGATGTGGCTCCCTCTATGAAAAGCTGAAGTGGTGACTGATATGTTAACTGTGTGGAAATACTGTTTATATTAGGAGGGAACTAGTGAGTAAGGCCTGAATCCTACAATGACTAGTTATTATCTGTAATGACACACTCTAGGTAGTCCCATTTCTTTTGTAAATCCACTGAAAGCTTAAAGCAAGGTACGTGTTGAAACATTTACAATGACCAATATGATTGGCTTTCTATATTTCCCCTGCTACGGTAATTCTTAACATTTTTTCTCCCCACTGATGCTCAAAGTTTTCTTGTAGCTGGTATTCAAAACATTCTAAGAGACACAGGGACAAAATGTGGAAACTGTGGTGTAACTTTGGGGCCAAAAGGGAAAAAAAAGAACTCCAGAGGGAATCATAGGAGTATAATGTTGTAAGGCTGGCTTTCAGATCAGGCAACCAGGCAAAGTGGTTGAAACAATAATAAAGACAGAAATTAGCAGGCAGAGATTAATGTGAGATAGTAGAGGTTGATGGTTGGAGCTTTTACAGGTGAAACGCATATGTTAGTGTACTGTGAAAGAGTCCGAGAGCATTTGATAAGGGTTGGTCTGATTAATAGAGTACATTTGGATTTTGAAAAAGCTATTGACAACTGCCCTGACCTTGGTTTCTTAAAAAAACCCTAAGCTGTCATGTATTCTCCAGTGGTTTAGTAACTGGTAGGAAGCAAAAAGGCAGATTTCATGCTGGAGCAGAGTTAGCAGTGGTGTCATATCCGTGCTGTTCAGTGTCTTCCTCGATGGTTCAGATGAGGTGGTGAAGCTGCGTGTTCAGAGTAGCCAACGCTAAAACCGACTGTGAAGACTTGCAGAAAGATCTCATGACACTGAAGGTACTGAGTGGATAGAAAGGCAGATAAACTTTAGCACTGATTAACACAAGGTGATTAACACAAGGTGATGTACATAAGAAAAGGAGCTCTAACTATGTGTGCACAAATGATAAGCTGTAAGGAAATCAGGCATGACCGTAACCTATTTTACCAGCCATCATGGAAGCTGCAGCATTAGGTTTGTTATCATGAGTCTGAGCTTCTAAAGAAAGGCTTTATTGACTGTTCAGGAGGCAAGAAAATCAAGCATCTTTAGTTTTAGAGGGTCTCTAACAGTATGTCATATAAATACTTGTTCCTTTTCAGGCTCATAGTGCTTAAGTAACAGTCACTCACTGATGTTTTTTTCTTTACTAGCCTTCTTCCTTGAGGTAATATCTCTAAAGAAGTTTAAAAAAGGATGGTAACAACTGAAGAAATGTAAAGATTTCCCCTTCTCCCCATGTATATATCTATATGTTGTCTTCTCAGAGGGGAGCTATTGCTGTGGCTGAGAGAGGGAAGAGCTGGACCTCAAGACTCCATCATGCAGAAGCAGCAGCTGTGTGTGTTTTGCTGCTGGTACATAATTGGTCCCCCATAAACCTAAACCTTTGGAAAAAAGATGTCACCAAACAGATTAACATCCATACCAGGAATTTTAACTTCCTTATTTGATGTTCACTTTCAAAGCTGCCCTGCCACAACTATTGGCTTTTCCTGCCAAAGAAACTCCCTTTGGCCAAAAGCACTGATTCAGTGCGGAGCTTCCCCGTGCATTAAGTCCTTTTCATTGGTTTTAAAGTTAAACACATTAGTAAGAATTATTGTGAATTGGGGTAAGGACAGTTGAATCTAAGGAACTCATTGAATTGAGCATAGGCAGCATCAGGACTATTCTGTGTGTTTCTGTGGTGAACTAGAATTGGAATTAGTCAGTCTGACTGACAGGTCCTGTCACTGGTTGTGGGACCTTGTCTTGAACTTGTGA